GGCCACGCCGCAATCTCTTCTCCTCCATTCTCCTCTCGGGATCTTGGGCATGCACGCACACCTGGCGTGAGTTTAAGCCACTGGGTCTGGGACTCAAACCGTGGTTGGCTACATGGGAGTTCAGCGACATAGCCATTACGCTAACTGCTGGTCCCAAACTCATTCTCTTTGTTCATTATAGATCTAGTTATATTTCCTACTTATTCTTGAGTCAAATTTGCTAGTGTATGTCCTTGGTTCATGTCACTGAAAATATGATCCAGAAAATCTCCTTTGTAAATCTTAAAAAAATTGAGTCTCGGTGCAATGGGAAGTAAGCAGGAAAGTGACAAAATATGACCTACATTTTAATAGATCACTTTGGCTACTTTATTGAAAATAAATTATAGGGAGGGAAAGAATGGACAGAGAGACAGCTAGGAGGCTATTGCAGTAATGCAGGTAGTTGAAAGGTTGATAAGGTTGGTTTGGACAAAGGTATTAGCAGTAGAGAAAGTGGGAAATGGTCAGATTCTCTCAAATTGGATGTCAGAGTGATGAAATAATACAGAAGAGTTAGGCTCAGAGGTTCTTGGCCTAAGGACCTAGAAGCATAGAGTTGTCATTTACTGAGCTTGTAAAGACTACAAAGGGAGTATTTTGGGAGGAGGGGCATTAAAAACTTTTGGTGTGGGACCGGCAGTTGGCATAATGGCTATGTTGCTGGACTCCCATGTGGTCGACTGCAGTTCGAGTCCCAGGCCCGGTTGCTTAAACTCACGTTGACGCGTGTGCATGCGTGCCCAAGATCCCGAGAGAACAGAGAAGGGATTGCGGAGTGGCCATCCCTCCTGGGGGGTGATTTCTCGCTTTCTATCTCTCTGTCTTTCTGGTGAGTGCACATGCACTATAGTAAAAACCTCTCCCCGCTCCCCCCCTCCCCCAAAAATAAAAAACTTGGTGTGTTAGGTTTGCTGTCTCATTGATAGCCAAGTGGAAATGCTGACTAGACATTTGTATATATAGAATTCTGGAATCTAGGAGAAAATGGATTGGAGTTATGACTTGGGAGTGATCAGTGCTTGAAATGATCAAGTATTTCCATGTCCATTATTGTTGTGGGAGTAGTTGAGTCATTTAACAAACATATACTTTTTTTTTGATAAGGTAATTATTTTTTAAAGAATTATTTTAACTTTCTTCATTTTTATTTACTTTAATTTGACCGGAGAGGGACAGAGTGAGAGAGAGAGAGAAAGCCGCCAGGTCCAGGCCTTGAACTTGGCCATGTGGGAGTCCAGCACCTTTAACTACCATGCCACTTGCCGGCCCTGCAAACATATACTATTGAGCTGAGCACCCACTTGGTGTGAGGCACGTAACACACGTTTTTGAAAGAAAAGGGTGCTATTTATTCTTGGAGACAAGGAAAACAGGAGGAGGTGCGGTTCTGAGCTGAGGCTGTGGAGCCCGGATCGCGGTCGCGGTGTCTGTGGATGTATCCAGGAAAGGGTTGACTATGCGGGGGTGGAGCTCGGGGAACAGGTCTGGGCGGGAGGCGGGCAACTGGGAGTGGCTGAGATAGGCCGGTGGGGAGCGTGAGTCCCTCGGCTGCCGGGAACAGGTATGACACATCTTCTCACATGCATTTCTTTATTTTCCTTGAGCGCTGGCGGTCACACCAAACGTGCCACGCCGTGGGCTACCAAGGAACCGTCACGGCTCCTCCCATCTCCCGAAGACTGAGAAAGAGGGAGGAGTCAAGGCTAGGTCCCGCTGGGGGCGGGGGCCCCAGCGGCGCTGACGTCACCGGGAGGCGGGCCATGGGGCGGCACGCCCCTTAGAATCTGGGGCCGGAGTCTGCGCGCGACCTGGGCTGCACCGAGCGGTCAGGTGCGCTCTAGTTTGTCGCCGCCGCGGTCCTCAGGCCATGTGGAGCAGGCCGCGCTCAGCCAGCAGACCCTGGGTGCGGTTGTAGACATCCTCCAGGGTGCGGGCGGCCCGGGGCAGCGCAG